AAGTTCTATATTCAGACAAAAGGTACAGCAATAGGGACCCAGATGATGCCAAACTATGCCCATATTTTATGGGAGACTTAGAGACGAGACTGTTGGAAAGTTGTACAGACAAACCAAACTTTGATGACATTTTCATCATTTGGGTAGGAGGTGAAGATTCCTTACTATCCTTCTATAGACATGCTTCCACACTTCTATTAAATTACTCTGCTACTCAAATAAGTTTCTTAGATGTAAACCTAACGTTATGAGATTGTGTTCTACTTGCTGATTTGTATCAAAAACTGATAGACCACAATACTTACATTTTCAAAGCTGTAACCCTTCACACACCAAATACAATATTACATTCAGTCAAGCATTTAGATTAAAGAAAATCTGCTCTGACAGTAAAAACTATGACCTTCACATTGATTTGTTAAAACAGACTATGACCGAAAGAGGTTTTAAGCAGAACACTGTGATTCAACAAGTTGACAAATCTAACAATATTCCATTGAATCTGCCTTGAAACAATCACCTAAAACAAATTCCTTTGATGTTCCACTGATTATTACCTAAAATTAAAAAACCTACCCTGGATACTGAAAAAACTTTTACCTTCTTCAATTTAATGATTGGCTAAAATATGTTTTTCCTTAAATTCTGGTTGTTTCTTTCAGAACAAACAACAACTTTGAAATCACACTTAGTTCATGCTAAAGTTAAAGTTAACTTTATGTTATCACCTGGTGTAAATCACCCTCGCAGTAGCAAGTGTTGCCAAACCTGTAAGCTCATGCAGAAAACTGACAAATTTTCTGATAAAGACAAATCAAAGACAGTTTAAAATCACTAAACTCATAACCTGCTCTACAAAAAATGTTATTTACTTAATCCAGTGCCAAAAATGTAACTTGTGGTATGTAGGTCAAACCAGAACAACTATACAGGGAAAGGTTTAATAACCACAAACCTGCAATCAAAATGAACAAAACATTTTAACGTGCCTGACATCTCTCTTGAAGACATTAAACTGACAGGTACAGAGACAAATTTTACATCAAACAGAAACAGAGAAATTAAAGAAGCTTACTGGATAGCACTATTAAATACTGTAATGCAGAATGGCATCATTCTCAATCCTGGGATTGAAGCTTACTGGATAGCACTATTAAATACTGTAATGCAGAATGGCATCATTCTCAGTCCTGGGATTGTTGACCTCTACAAAAAATTCCAAAAGCAACTTTGTAATTAAATTGATTTATTTATTATTATTAATTTTTATTTATTCATTTATTTTTATACTATTAGTATTATCCATATTTTTATGTTTATATTTCTCTGTAGTGGTATTATTTCTTATATATTGCTTTACATTACCATTTTCTCTAATTCTCATCCCCCTTTGTTTTTAATTTTGTTTTTCTATCCTATGAAAACTGTTTTAACATCTTTTTAACTATTATTGCTCTTATATCTTTCATGTAGTGTACACATTTCTTTTATACAAACTAACCCTAATACCAACTTCTCCAGTTATAATTTGCTAGTCTTCAAGGTCAGCTTGTGGAATGTCCAAATTACGTGATGTCAACATCAGCACCTATATATTACATTGCTCTCACTGATCATCATCCTTTATTCTTCTGAAGAAGAATAGTCAACTAATCGAAAGAGCTCTAGTTTTTGTTTTTTTAATTTATTGAATTTCAAAACAGTATCTTTACCTCTATACACAGTAGCTAATCCTCGAGCATCTGCTTTTGAGTTTTGAATATGCCTCTAGCCTTGAGTTATCTTCCACTTAAGGTATGTGCTTTCACATGAACTGTGCTAGTGTTTGATGTGTCCATCATGTGACATTAGCCCTTCATCAACAGGAAGGCAACACATCCTTCATGTGCAGTAGATCTCCATAAGCACTTGCACTCAAAATTAACTTCATTCTTTTCCTCAGCACTGTTGTGAACAGATGTGTTTATTGAAGTTTAAACTTTGTTTATTGTAGTGAGACTTATGCTGGCTTTAAACATCTTTCAATTACTGCATGAAAAATAAATGAGAAATAAATAAAAATAATAGAAATTTTTTTAATAACAGTGAATTCCCAAGTAACAGTGACTACTATCTCCCACCAAGTTTCTGAAAATGTTTCTATCCTTGACCCTACTTTGTTTGTGGCTACTAGAAGCTTGTTGATTGGGGTGGACATTACTGCTGTTGTTTAACATGTCATGGATTCATTTATGCCTTCATTGCTTTATCTCACTGTCCCTGTGTCAGAAGTGTGTTCCTTTCTTTCCAAACCTGATCAAAAATACGATAATTTTTGTTGACTCTTTCCTCCTCCAGGTTTGCACAGGTCTGTTCCTCCTGCAAATCTAAATTTGTTCCTTACTTTTTCTTTGACTTCTGTATTTTGATTCATCCCATTGCTTACTACATGCCTCTCATGCTGTGGATTATTTGGTTTTCCTCATTAGCCAGACATACTTGTACATGCTGACATGTTTCTGGGTCAGCTTCATTCACACTCTCAAATGCTTCCTCTTTCTCGACTTCAGAATTTCTTTGCCAAGGCTTATGAAAATTTCCATTTGTGGATTCCCAATCCTTGGTATTCCTTTTACCTGCTTCAGGGACTGACCCCTGTATCTCTAGTGACCAGTTTTCCTGTCTTTGCCTTTCTTTTACTTATCTTCTTCATTATCCTTCTTCTCTTTGTCTTCTCTCTGAAACCCTACACCGTTATCGTGGTAGTTTTTCTGGAGATCTATGGTTGGTATTTTTCAGTACTGTGGCTAAGGTTTTTTCTTCTATTTTGTCCTTGCTTACTTGGTTCCTCTGTTGTTGGAACCTTTTAAATTTGATGCTCTTCTCTGCTATTCATCTTCCCCATTCTTATTTCCGTGAGTTCTCTCTGGCTCATCTTTTTCATTCTGAAGTCTTTGGTGGTGTTCCTAACACCTAGAAGACTCAGTTCAAGGCTGTCTGACACCAGTTCTCCCTTTCCTTTTTGTTTCTTGTGAATCCACACACATTATTTAACCCCTTGAACCCTCCACCACTCTCTTTTCCCTATTATCTCTTCCTCCTCCTATCAAGTTGTCATTGCATGTCTCATCTGTGACTACCTCCTTTTGTATTAAGTTGGTTCAGGCCCTATAGGGGCACATCTATATCTGTTTGTAGATCTCTGGACCCCATTTACTGCTGACCAGTGGGTCATTCAAGTTCTTACACACAAGGCTTTTCACTTCACTTCTCGTCTCTTACTTTTCTGTCTCCCTTCAATCTTTTGTGTCTCGAGGCTATGGTGTCAGTTCTGTTGGACAAGAGAGCCATCAAGAGGATCACTTGCCTCTTTTCAGGATTTTATTCTCATCTTTTTGTTACCCACACAAAGTCCTGGAACTGGCATTCAATCATAGACCTTTCTTCTCTCAACTACAATCTAGTGGTTCCTTAATTCAAGATGGAGAAGTTTCATCCTGCCCATTGGTTCTTTTCTCCCAGACTATGGATTATAAAGGTTGATGTTTCCGATGCCTTTCTATATATTCTGATTGCTCATTTCTCCCTATGTTTTATTCAATTCATTCACCAGGGCCTGGCATGGTTTTAGCTTCTTATGTATAAAACTGAGTCATGAGAGCATTTTCTCACCACATCCTCAGTCTTGAACTTTGTCTCCATTCTTACATGGATGACTGGCTCCTCCTCACCTTTTCTTGGAAAGCCTTTTTTCTTGGCCACATCACTTCTCCAAGAAGCTGCTCATGTGGGTTAGCTGATCAAATCTTCCAAGTATTTCCTTACTCCAACCCATGACTTAGTCCCCTTGGAGTCTTCCAATTCTCGTCTTAGTCAGGCTCAGCCTTCTTCCATTTGTCTGCAAGACAATAAGCATCTAGTCATCTTGACTCTTTCCTCTTCATACGTGAGAGGTTCTATATCTATTGGGGACTCTTGTGTTTTTTGAACATCTTGTCTCTTTTAGCCAAACCACATGAGGCTTCTTCAATGGTCTTTGAGCAACCAATGGAAATTCTCCTGTGATCCTCTGTTCTCTCTTGTGATGTTACCACATTACAAGGATTTCTCTTGGTGGCTGGATCATGCCAACACTACAGTCAGCGTTCCATTGCTGCTCCCACAACTGTATCTCCATCTATTCATGAAGTATCTCTTTCATGTTGAGGCATGTCCCTGGATGACTCCACATCTTCAGGGGTTTGGTCTCGTGGAATGTACTTTCCATAGCAATGTTCTGTGTCATGCTGAAACTGAATGACAATTGATAATAATGAATACTCAAGCATAACACTAATGTAATTTTACAATTTCCGACACATAATAAGATATTTACAAATTCAATATTAAAATCTAAATCAAACTAACAAATAAATTCTCAGCAAGTTACAGAAATACCCCAGAAAATTTACTGAGCTGTAGTAAATAATAGGACCATATTAATCACCAACATTTTTTAAGTACTACAGTCTCAATAATGTTTTGAAAAATGGGTGAGGATCACAAGGTGACATTACGTATTATAAATTGTTGTACAGTAATTTTATTTGGTGTATAGATTTTTAAAATCTGTGCATTTTATTGTTATATTTGGTTATATGGTTTCTGGGGGAAATTTCCCATGTTTGTTTAGAAGCAAGTATATTTGGGTTTCTAGTTACTGATCAAAGTTGAGTTTATTTTGTACATGTAGAGGTTGTGTATGTGTAAGATGCTTTAAGTTATTTCATCGTAAGAGGTCGAGCTGTGTCACATGCTATATTTGGTGATATCATTGCAAGAATAGAATTGGCTAGTGTATTGGAAAATTATATTATTTTAGAGTTATTTGATTTGAATTTAAAATTTGTACTGTTTTGATGTTTAAAAGCAATTGTCCAAATTGTGATTATTAGATTATATATTGTTTTTTCTCAACATTTTCATAATTATGTGTTAGTTTGTGTTCCTCAGTCAAAATTACAACACAGTAGGAGAAATGGATGGAAGTTGGAATTAAGCAGGACTTGAAGGGTGAAGTATTGAAAGAGTTTGAATGGGAGCAACACACTGTCGAGAGGCAGGAAAGAGGAGCAGTGAAAAAGAAAGAAAGAGAACTCAGGGCAGCTGATGAATGTGAATGTATAAGACAGTATGAAGCAGAAGAACGAGAAAGAGCTCGACACCGTGAAATGGAGATTAAAAATAATCAAATTAAGCACCAATTCAAGTGTTCAGTATAGTTGTATTCTCATTCTCTTATTATATGCTACTCATCGTTCTGGTGCCATCTCACCATACACGTACCTTCAATAATTGGTTGTTCACAATAATAATATTGGAATCTGTATCTCAACACTATTGAAAATAATAATCACTACCATACTCAAGTTTACTTCTCAGTTGCTAGACGGCCATAACCCTCTGTGTCGTATCCAGTATTCACAATATATACAAATTTTTCCTCAGGTACTCAGACTTCTGACCAAATTATAACCAATAATTAATTACATTATGTGACTCACTACACCTTACCTCCTGGAGATAGTTCACTTATGTATAGAATGCAAAAAGTACCTTTTACTCCACATGTACAAAATAAACTCAACTTTACTTTGTAACTAGAATCTTAGATATATTTGTATCTAAACAAACACCAAATATTTCCTCCAGAAACTATATATCCAAATATAATAATACAATTCACATATTTTAAAACCTGTACACCAAATGAAATTACTGTACAACAATTCACAATACATAATGTCACCATGTGACATTCTGGAACTCTTGACTGCCCATCATGTATGTTCCTATTTCCTACCTCATTTGGTTATGATCTACTAAGACAATTTTACAATCATTTCTAATATCAGGGTGAGACTCATTCCAGGGACTTTTGCTTTTGAATGTTGGACTTTCTGTTTTGAGCCCATTCACATCAGGTTCATCTAACTGCCTATCATGTCTCTGGGCTTTTGAACTTGGTGGCAGATCATCTCTCTTGATTAGACAGTATCCTTCCTACAAAGTGGCTACTCTACCTTCAGGTCTTTCATTGGATCTGTTCCCAGTTGGACATGCCAGTGATAAATGCCTTCACAACTCCTCTCAGTACCAAACTTCTCCACTTCTGGTTTCCAGTACCTCACCTAGTTGCTTTTGCTGTAGATGCCTTCAGCCAAGACTGATCTCACCTCTTTCTGTATGTTTACCCTCCTTTCCCAAATGTTCTGGTTTTGATTTGTCAACTTCTGTTAGTAGCCTTCTTATGGCTGGGTTTTCTCTTCTTTACCAACTGGCAACCAGAGCACTCCCTTCTTCTGCCTCAGTAGTGGCTGCTTGTGCTACAACCTCATACATTTCTCTTTCACCTGGGAGTGTCATCCTAACAGCTTCACATGTGAGATTAGTCCATCCTTTGCTTTTTGGTTAGTTTTCTCAAACTGTGTAGCCCTTCTTTTGGTCAGTTTTCTCAGAGTGTGTAGCCTTTCTTTATCACATTTGTGTCACCCTTCTACTATTTCTGTCTGTTGACAGAAATAGCAGGTTTTTCACTGCTGGTCCACATACCACTCTCTCCCACCAAGATTCCTTACTTTTTCCCACATTTTGCCCTATTTCACCTGGTTGTTTTGCCAAGAATTGTCAGTTTCTACTATAATAGGCAATCAGACAACCTTGAAGACTCCCCTATGACTTTTTTCTATGGTTCTTTCTTTTCTTCTGCTGTTCTTTCCATCTTGTTCTAGTCCTTCTTATTCATCATCCCCCTTATCCAGTTCCTTTGCCTGATTGGAACCTTTATGTGGTTCTACATGATCTTAACCAGACTGTGTTTAAACCATTGGCCTCTTACTCATTATATTATCTTAAAGCCTATTTCCTTCGATCTTGGCCCTCTATGATCATACTGATCCTGATTATTTTTTGTGTTCAAGCACTTAGGTGTTACTTGGCATCCACAACTCCATTTTGGGTGTCTCACAGTTGTTTATTCTTCCCACTTGATTCACTCTCTGGCCTCACACTTTTGACAACCCTTGGACGTGATCCTTCAGGCTGGAATGTGGACTACATCCAACACCTTCAGTTTCCATTCCTCCACCATATGGCAATTTCATCTCTCTCAGGATATCATCTACTTCCAATTACCATTCTCCAGTCTAGCATCCATTTTTGGTGGGTAAGTGCCTCTTGTGCAAAATTCCTTACCTGTTTCTACTCTTGTCTGATTTGCTTCTAAGAAACCACCCAGTGGCAAGTGTTGCCTCACAAAGTATACTTATTTCCCTAAACTTGCATCGAGTCAGGGGCAACAGAAAGTGTTAAACCCATCTTCAAATATGCCCACTGTTGAGATTTTTTGCAATACCATTAATGTGGGATATACATATATGTGGGAAATACAGACCATATCTTCCATGGACTATTATGGAAAAAACCAGCACTCTTTCCTGGTCTTTGAATGAAGCATGGGAGACCCTTGCCACTTTCAGTTCCTAGCTGCTGGGGTGGCTAACTTGGAAAGTTCCTCACCAGTTGTACAATCTCTCCGGAGAGAGTCTGAGTGGGCAGCACAATGTGGGAAGTAGGGCAAGGGAGTTCAAGACAGTGTAGTGCCAGATGCAGCAGTGTTTTCTTCCTGCAACAGGAAAGGACCTTTGTCTCTGTACCTTTTTGTACCATGAGTAAATGATACAATAGAACATATACCAAACCGTATGGTCTTATCACTTCCCTAGCCACCCTACACTTCATGTCCAACTGACTGGTTGTTTGCAAATGCTTGGTTTTTCATGCACTTTTCTGCTCATCCCTGTGATACCTTGGCTTATTTGCTTTCCTCCTTTCATACTTCCATTCAGTCAAAGACTATACCCTACATGACATGGATGCATTTTCTCATGAGTATGGCCCCCCTATAGGGTGTTAGACTCCAAGGGCTTTCCCTTTAGTTACCATCTCTGAAAGGTGCTTATCTAGGTTTTTGCAATTTTGTTGGTCCCTCAACCACATCAGTGTGGGATTCTAACTACTGTGTGAAGATGGGTAAAGATATAAGTTTAAATTTTTCACACCAAAGTTCACATTAAAACCTGTGTCTTAGGTGGGAGATAGCTCAAGGCTAGTGGCATGCACAAAATCTCAAAGGCAGAGGTGCAAGGAATAACTATTGTGTGAAAAGAGGTATCTATCAGAAGTACATTTTTAGGAAAGGAAAATGTTAACTTCAGAAACAAGTTTTTAATAAAAAGACTTTATTTAAAAATGATTTTTTTTAAGTACAACAGACTTGTAATTTTTGCTAAAGGTTTGCCAAATTTTTAGAAGATACACATAGTAAATTCAGAGTTATAGTATGTATTATTTTATGATTACCTTGTGGTTTCAAGGTTGGTCATTGTGATCAGGCTTGTATATTGATATTGCATAATTGTATCACACTGTGGTGTACATAAAAAACTAAACATAATTTGTTGAATTTATTTGTCATCAATAAAATGTTTCAAAGCTACACAGTACCAACAGGGACTAAACTTCTATTGTATTTCATTACCTGCATTCTGCTATACTGAATGTTAAACATATGTTTTTGTGATTTTTTAGATAAAATTATTCTGAATATCTTAATATTGTAGTTGAGGGGTAGCTTTAAAAGTATTATTTTTTTTTGTGTGTAACTCAGTTAAGAGTTCCTAGTTTGTAATAATTATATGATATTTTGTAATTGTTTCTTTGTTGTTGTTTTTAACAGTATAGCATATTTTTCAGGTATGTAGAATTAAAGATATTTTAGAATAACTGTTTAAAAATAATTTTTGATAATTGGATTATTATTATATTTTATAAAATAATCCATATTTTCAGGTCCAGACATTGTAATTTGTGATGAAGGTCATATTTTAAAAAATAACACCTCTGCCATTTTCAAAGCCATGAATCGTATCAGAACAAGAAGAAGGATTGTTTTAACAGGTACTCCATTGCAAAACAACCTATCAGAGTGTAAGTGTATCTTTGAAAGTATTTATATTTGATAAGTTTAACAGTAAGTTTATAATTTGACAGTAGAACAACATAGAAGTATGTTGGCATAATAATAACTTGAATCGTGCTTCATATTTCATCTCATGGGTCTGAAATAATATAGTATGATACTATAATAATGTGGTTAAGAAGATAAGAGTATGATACTATAAAAATGTGGTTAAGAAGTTAATAGTATGATACTATAATAATATGGTTAAGAAGTTAATAGTATGATACTATAATAATATGGGTTAAGAAGTTAATAGTATGGTACTATAATAATATGTTTAAGAAGATAATAGTATGGTACTATATTAATATGGTTAGGAAGTTAATAGTATGATACTATAATAATGTGGTTAAGAAGTTAATAGTATGGTACTATAATAATGCATGCTGCTGCTACATATATGTATATATTTGCATAAAACACTGGTTTTGATTATCCTTGTGGGCTAAAAACATTACAATATAAGATAATCACACAACTTTTACATGTTATATTTATTTTAATTTACTGAACATTAAAATTTTCTTTTTCAGGTATAATGCCCTCTGTAAGATATAACAAGTTTCAACAAACTACATGTATGAATGCTATTTCAAATAATTCATAACCAGTTGCCACTTTTAAAGAGACAGATCTTGAAAGCTGGATCTTATAAAAGTATAACTGTCTTAAAGCTAAAGCAATTTAGTAGCTTTAAGTGTTATGACAGGTGTGTTAATAAATAGAGCCACATTGATTTCAGTGTTAATGACTTTTGACATTTCTTAAGACATTGTTATAAAGTTTGCCACATTGAATATTATTGTCATACAAAAATGAAATCTCTTCCAAAAAAATGATCATTAGAAAAAAATGTGGTGTGGAATAAATACATAATAGCATGTAAACAAATTATAAAACTATAGTATGTTACTATTTGTTGATTGCAGTAGACTGATGTGCTTCAGTTTGTGGTGAAATCATTTTTAGTGATATCTAAAATAAAATTCTAAGAATACAGTAGCTCAGTGTTAAGTCTGAGGGCTTATAATGCTAAAAATCATGTTTCAATACTCATGATGAGCACAACACATAGCCCATTATGTAGCTTTATACTTAATGAAACATAAATTTATCTAACAGAAGTTTGTGTCTAATATTTTGAAGTGTTAAGATGTATAAATTGCAAATTTAAATTAAAATACAACTCACATGTTTTTGTTTAAAACTTTAATTTAAAAATTACATAACTACTTTAACTAAAGTTTACCACAAGTGTTTACTCTATGCATTGGTATTAGTAAATACTATTACCCCTTCATAATACACTTAAGAAAAAAAAAATGAAACTAAATGAAACATATAATAACACTAATAGCAATGGAAGAAAGGAATAATGAACAGATAAATAAAAAAAAAAGTTCATAACTAAATGCAATATGCTTTAGTGCTGTTTTAAGTACAGACCATTTTCAGCTATGGACTTAACTACACAATATCTGATTAGCCCTTCAGATTTTAAAACTCTTAGATTAATTAGATAAAATATAAAATTATCATACTTACATTGCATCACCATTTATGATGTTGTAATACCCTCTTGTTATCTTGAGGAGAAATAATTTTGAAGTACAGTCACATTGAAAATAACAGTGCACAACTTGGCATACACATTGAAGTCAATGGTATTTTGGTCCTTTTTTTCCCAGCACCTGTGTAAACCAAGTATAAAAACACTAACCTGAAACGAATCTCCAACCCTCTACAATGCGTCTTTTCCTTTGACCACTTGAAGAGACAATGAGTACACCGTAAACTCAATTGATGTTAAAACTTTAGATTTAGGAAACCAACACATTGGTGAAAAAAACGTGAATCATGTGAGGTCTATCTCTCTATATAGTCTTCTTGAGTTAGATGGACTAACTTCATCCTTATTCTTAAATTTATTCTTACTTTCCTCATCACTACCTGAACACTTATGTTTTCATTCACTGCATTACACTTGGTGTACCATATCTGGTAGTTGACAAGAAAGAGAATATTTCAGTTGATATTACAGAAAGTGAAGTATTAAACAGGACAGAAGTGTAACTTATAGGTCCAAATTTAAGTACATATTAAAGCTTTTGCCAGTAAACTTTAACATACACACTGTCATAGAAAGCATGTTTAGTTGTTTCTATGCATTTGTTTGTATCTGAAATCTTAAATTTAAACAGCCAGTCAACGGTGCTTACAATATTATGTACTAAATACTGTAATTTAAATCTTGTCTTTGGCCTTTGAGATTAAAGTATCGTATATTTTTTGGACTATCATCTCTGATAACCTTATTTTTATGTTGCTATGATTTATCAGGATGACAGTGTCTGTAAAAAATGTTTGATGATAAAGGCAGATTTTCTGCTCTGACTGCCTACAAAAACCTGAGTTAATCCCAACTATGTAGCTGTAAAATGAAACAAGTTGTGTTCAAAGCTCAGAATCTTGCATGTTAGACTAACAGTTAATGATATTAAATGCAGTTCAAGGCTTAAAAACCTTCTTGCTTAACAGGTAAAATCACTAGGTCTCTGGACAAGCATTCAATCTTGTCAGAAACAGTCTTTTCTTGTATGTGTTTTGATATGAACTTTAACTTTCTACTTGTCTCTGGACAAGCATTCAATCTTGTCAGAAACAGTCTTTTCTTGTGTGTGTTTTGATATGAACTTTAACTTTCTACTTGTCTCTGGACAAGCATTCAGTCTTGTAATTCTACATGAATTTAACTTTTAACATGATTGTCTGAACTGCATGGCTGAGTGACTAATAGTGATTTTACCATGGATTTTTTTACTGTATAGTTGCTAGGTAATGTAGATTATTGGTGTATAATGCATGAGATGAATATCCTGGCCAGCTGTGCATTAGTGTAGCACCCATGCAGTAAAAATGGAATGTGTTTTTGTTCACTAAGTGAATGCTCAGTTCATCTGTAACCTTCTTTTTTTATATAACTATTTGCTAACTTTAGTACACATTCAGTAAGCTTTACTAAAAGTACTTCATGTTTAAGAAAATAGTGAATACAGAAACAGTCTTTTCTTGTGTGTGCTTTGATATGAACTTTAACTTTCTACTTTTCATTATACTTAATTGTTTCAGTGAAAAAAAACATTGCAGATATGGTATCTTAGACAAGAGTAAATTATAATTTTCAAAGTATTTTCATCCCGTCCAAATACATTTTTCAGACAATTTTAAAGTATACTTTTTTTTTAGATCACAGTATGGTCACTTTTGTGAAAGAAAGTCTTCTTGGCACAAAAAAAGAGTTTCTCAATAGATTTGTTAACCCAATTATTAATGGTCAGTGTGCCGATTCAACGCCTTCTGATGTAAAGCTAATGAAAAGACGAGTTCATATTCTTCACAAACTTCTTGAGGGCTGTGTACAGGTAAGATATTAGATAAATAGATATGTAATTTGAATATGTTTCTGTGTGTTTGTGTATATATATATATATATATATATATCTTTGAGTGTATATCAAGGTTATGTCTCACATAAAAATAAGGGAAAGTGAGACTTAAAACATCAGGAACTCTGGACATTATCTGGATTTTCTCCCATTAATCTTATTCATGCAGGTGGGTCAAAGTACATATTTTATGTCTTTTTTTTTTACTGTGTTACATTTAAAATTTAATTAAAGAATTTTATTATCTGTTTATGTCAATAATTTTGGCATCAAAACATAGTTTATAATAAAACTTATATTATCTAAGTTTGAAATTCATGATCTTCACTAATCTGTGTCACTCAATGTCTGATGCTTTAATTGCTCCTTTTTTCAAGTTCTTTTTCATCTCTTTCATGCTTTTCAGACTATCCAACCAATTAAATACACAAAAAAAACAACAGATAATGAAAGGCCAGTAAATAAAAGAACTTCCTATCTTTATTTGTTGAGATAAGATTGTCCAACCTATAAACCAGGCTTTTGTAGCTTTAGTGTATTTTCTAAATATGTGGTACATATTAGATATACATGTCTATAACTAATAGAAAGAGCAAAATTCAATGTACCTCTTATATTTGGTGATTTATTTTTTTGCTATGAAAATCTCATAGTTTTCTAGAAAATGATGAGGTGTTCAGAATAAAGGTGATGCTCTGAGCAGTATTGGAATATTTTAACATATTTATAACTTCGTCAGAAAGCCAGGTAAGTTATAATAGTTTAGGACATTCCGGTATACTTTTTGTGTTCTGAAATGCATTTTTGAAAGATATATGAATTATTTACTGAACAACCAACATAATGAGAAAAAAGTAGACTCATCAAAGTATGCTCCTGAGTAAATATAGGCCTATAATTAAATTTCTTGTTTTTTGAGTATATTGTTAAATATACTTTAACAAAAGAGACTAAAATGTAAAAAGGAAAAACTTATTAGGTTAAATAAAAATTACGTAAAACATTTCTCGTGGTCATTCCTCAATGTACTCGTACATGTGTTTTGACGTCACCTGATGTAACTAACCTGGTACTTTGTTTACCTTCTGCTCTTCTGATGAGTGATATATTTGCCGTATGCTACTTAAGACAGTTCAAAGTAGGAATAAAACTTAAAGAAAACAGATATGAAAAGGCTAGAAGGCTGAGACTGTTACAGTAAATAATTGTAACTGTCATTCAAGAAAAAAGTTTTTTAAATTTTATTTCGTATTTTTCAATGTTTCATTTTACTGTACATTAATGAATTAGCTGCAATTAAGGTAAAGAAAATACGAAATAAAATATAAAGTTTTATAAAAACACTTGAGATTCATTTATGGAAACTAAAGTTAAAAGAGGCATTTTTATTTTTAGCATTAACTCACCTTTTATCAGACTGACTTAGTGAAGGCTTTATAAATTCTCATACACATCTTTAGTAAAAACATTTTATTAAAAATCTAATCTTTTTATGTAGAACAGACTTGTAATGCTTGCTAAAAGCTTGTCAAATTTCTTGAAGATGCATTTATTACATTCAGAGTTATGTGTAGTCTCACCAATACATAGTAGTTACAAGGTTGGTGAAATTAACAGTGGTTAACAATGAGAAACTGTTGAATGTTTTATCCTGAATATATCAAGCTGTATAATTTTGGAATGCTTGCAGTGCACTTGACTTCTCATTTAAGTAAGTGGTTAAGAGTATTCCCTTTTATGTCTGCATATTGTATGGGTTTAACTCATATCATATGAAGTCTACATTCAGCTTTACTTGACTTATTTGACAGTACAGAAACTATCTATACAGGGTCTGGATTTGTGATTGACAGATTTGTATGATATTTTAAATTACCTGTGACAGTACAAGAACATGGTCTTGACTGAATCCATTAACACTGTGCATCTGGGCCTGGGTTTTTAGAACATTTCATGACCTTTTATAGTGTTGTATTCAAAATTTAATTAAATGACTTTATTTTCAATGTGGGTCAGTAGACTTAGCATACAATATAGTGTAGACAGTAGTCCCTCTTAGATACAACTGACCTATCTGCCATGATAAAAAAGTCGCATCTGACAGGAAGTCATTATCTGAAGGATCAATAACCAGATAATGAACGACCGAATTCAAGCTGTGCCAGTTGCTATTCCAAGGGGTTGAGCATAATTGTTTATATACTGTATAGGTGCTCAAATAACGTAGCAAATTGGTACAATGTATAATAATAGTTTTTTATCAATAAAGATAACTTAAAATTGTTTTGTTTGTACTTTATGTAAAATAATTTATTCATCGATCACATTTATTTCATAAAAATCCACGTATCACATTTTTATTACATACATACATATAAAATATTACAAACTGACACAAAATTCATTTCATAAAAAATCGTCCATCTTTGTTTTGCACATTTAACGAAGTCACTTTGAATGTTCATGAGTCTGACAGTTATTATATCAAGAAGCGTTTCATTGTTAGTTTTCAGCACACAATTTTTAGTATCCATGTATAAAATAATGTGCAATAAATGTCCAGAATTCTACTTCAGAGAAAACGGAAGAAAATTGGAAAGAAGATTCATGAAACATAATAAAAATACATCCCATACTTGTTTTTACCACCAACTAAAAAAATCCACAGTATATCTATACAAAATGCAGTAATTTTAAACAAAGAACCAAACATCGGAAGCTGCGTATCTTAATTGAACAAAATAGTCCCACCCTAAACCAAAATTTCACCTTGAAACTTGGATCCTCTGATCCCAGCTCTGAAATGGGACCATTCCATGAATTTAGTAGAACCAGTAAAGAAATAAGAATAAATATCTGAACTAAATTATTACTAGACTCTAGCCAATACCTAATAAGGTAATCCTCTGATTACAAATACTACATAAAATGTAATATGTTGCATTAAAACAATTTCAAGTTGACTAAAACTTCTCTAATTTTCATGGTTTGTTTATTTTGTTGCTTTCGTCACAACTTTGGTCTGTGTGTCACGTTTCTATATCAACACTTCGAACTTTCTTCTTCGTGAGGATGCCTGCTAAGTCACAATCCTTGTAGAAACTCCAGCGTGCATGCTCCCAGTGTCACATGACTTCCACTGTTCTAACACTGCCCCTTCCTTAGTATTGTACGTCCCGAACAATAGCCACTTACATTAAACCAATAAACAATTAACAATAACTTAATTAAATGTACAGAATTTATAAACACACAATTAAAATTCAACAAAGTCTCTTAATTTGACGGGATGTATCTTCTTCCGTACTGGTCTCCATCTCGTTGGCTTCTGCTTCACATGGGGTTCATCTGCTCCATCAGGAAATGTTCTATTATCGGTAATAGTCACATCAGTGGTAGTAACTTCATTAAGAGCTTCACTGTTTCCCTTCTCAAAACCAGATAGATTTTCTTCTTAGACAGTGGCTTTTTCAGGTGACATGTCTTCAGCAGCGTCATTTATTGTGTTGTTCACTTCGTTCCGACTGAAATGTCCTGAACTATGATAACGCCAAAGCCTGTTGGCATGCACCACCTTTGGCTTACCTCGCTGACCACATTTTATCCAGAAAGTCACGTCTGAAAGATGATCCACAATGTCATATGGGCCTTCCCATGGAGAAGACAACTTAGGAGGCTTCCCTTTGGTATTTCTGGGATTATAGAACCACACCTTGTACAAAGCTGACTTCATTAGTTCTCTT